TATTCATCTTTTTGAGTCTCTTCGTTAAAGCGTACAAGGAAAAAGTGAAGGGTGAAATGAAGCAGTTGCTCAGTTTACTATTCAAAACAAGTCTCACTAAAGGTATTCATTTTTTTTTTAAAAATCCTTATGTTGACGATTTGTCTTTTTCTAAGTTGTACATTGTACATGCATACATTTCTCTTTCAATCATACCCTATAAAAGATGACCATTGCATAACTTCTTCGTCTACCTTTCATAATTAACCTCCTCATATCGTGTATAAGGGCAAAAATTAGAATTTAAGCTTGAATTGTGGAGAGGTATAATTTAGGTCTGACTTCTGTCATGCACCATGTAGTAAAATATATTCCGGACTTACAAATGGAGGTTCAAGACGGTCTAATGAAGGAATTGTATATGATCTTGACAGGTAAATCAAAATGTTTCCCTTATTCACATAATTTACTCCTTTTACCCAGGCTGCGTATTGCCAAGTAAGTTGGACCCACCAAAGAAACCCGTTTTACCAGCGCAAACTATCCAGGTTGTATTTGTATTCACATCTCGCTTCGTTTTGCAAATTTGCTCCCTTTTGCTAGGTGTCCAATGTGCCTCTAACTGTGCTTGCGTTAGACACCCTTGGAGAGTTCGAGTTTCAAAGGCATTATCTAGAAATGTTTATGCAGTACATCTCAGAGGTGAGATAAAGTACCTTTTTATTTCATACTAAAACTTTAATGACTGATTCTTGTAGGGTTACCTCCTCTGTGATTCGGTTACGGTGCGACTTGCTGCTGTAAGGTGTTGCGCTGCTATTGTGAAGCCATTTGTTAAGGTAAGCGCTCAGAGCTGGCATTGTCTTCCTGTAGTTTGATGTGTTTAGGTATACGAAATAGCCCATCGAGAACATCGGCAGTGGGTATTAGCATTAATTCATGGAGTACTACGAAGTCTAGTCAGCGCTGGGGTGGTAGATCCTCGTGAGTTTTGCTCTTTTGTCTCAAAGTCTTCTTTCTCTTCACGAATACGATCTCTTACATTATCTTATTTCTCTTTTGCAGAACTGGAAGTGCGGCTATGTGTGCTACAATGTTTCTGCGAAGCAAATCGCGCGTTTTTGTCACATCTCGCCCAACCGGAGATGCTTCAGCTGCAGTTTATGAGCCTGCATGATGAGAAGCTGGAAATGCAAGAGGTAGTTCCATCTCTGCTATATCTCTTGAGCACTTTCCAAGTAATATACAGTTCTCACCTCGATAGCATTGAAATTGATATGAAGCTCCATCTAACTTTTTTAAACAACTTTTTGATAAATCAAGGCTGCTGTCTGCCTTCTTGGTCGTTTATCTGAACTTAATCCTGCTCTCGTCCTGCCAAGAATGCGGCGAGTGCTCCTGGAAACACTAAGTCAACTGACAAATAGTGGACAAGCTAAGTAAGACACACACATTAACTTACTAGTTAGTGTTGAGAAATACATGAAATCATTCTGAATTTTTTTGATTTTATATTGCTTCGTCATTAACTTTTTGAACGTTACCAGGCTTGAGCAACATAGTGCTCGTCTCCTGACTCAGCTAGCTCGCCAAAGTCCAAAATTTATGCG